TATAAAAAAATTAAATAAAAAAATCGCTAACATCTAAGGACTTTAAATAATAAAAAACTCATTATTTATTTAAGAACTTTTATTATACAATTCAAATTTTTCCAGCAGCTTTTTCGCAAAATCTCGCAAATTATACTTCAATTTTTTTGAGTGTGTGAAACTTTATTTAATTGTATGAAATTTTATCTTTTATTTTACAATTTTAAGGGAATATAACATCATAAATTCAAATATAAATGAAGGTATAAAATCACATATTATAAAATAAAAATAAAATTTTACACATTTATAAAATTAAAGAACAATCTGTGGGTTTTTACCGTCGCCTTTCCTCTTTAAATAGATGGGGTAATTTGTCTAGGTTGGGCAGGTGGAGCAGAGACTGCGTAGCCGAGGTTTAACTTCTGAAAATAATAATAACAATAATCGAAAAAAAAATTTAATTTATACTTTTAGGATACCAATTAAATTTTATTAAATATAATATTTTTAATTAATTTTATATAAATTTATATATTAAATTTAATTAAAATAAAATATAATATTTATATTCAAAATTTATAAAAATTCTTAAATTTAATATAAAAATATATATATAATTAATTATAAATTCTTTAATAAATAAAATTTAACATATGTTCTTAAAACATAAATTATATATATTTAAATAAAAAAAAGTGTTTTGTCTTACAATCTATCACTGTAACTGTTAAAAGAAGAGAATTTCTTGATGTTAAATCCTTTTTTTTTTAATAATTTTGATCTTATAATTCATCATAGAACGAATTACAAACAGTTTTTGAAAAAAAAAAAAAAACAATTGGAAGGTGTCAAACAGGGATCAGTGGAGTGGATTCGTTTTGGAATCTAGAAGCAACTGAGATATGGTACCAAATTACCAAAATGTCCTTTTCGTAAGTGGAACTGAAAAAAGGTGGGCTCAACTCACATGTGTCTCTGTTTCCGTTGAATGATTTTCTGACACAACAGATTTCGTCTGAAACTTCAAACCACATAATTACAAATCCGTCACTTTTTAAACAAAATAACACCTGCTTTTCGCTTTTATCGTCCTCAATTTACTGAAACCATCTCCCCTCTTTTTCAGTCAATATATAAAGTGCCTCATGAGTTCCACATTGGATGATGGCATTTGAATTTAAATTGCTTCATGATTTTGTTTTCAAAATTTTTTTTTTTGATATATAATTTAGATTACACAATTATATTAAATTATACAATTAAAATTATTGGATGAGATATCATTTTTCATCTTATAATTTGTGTTTTACAGACCATATATTATTCTAATTACAAAATGTGATTCTCTTTTGTATTAGTAATTGGTTTTTATTATAGATAATTACATTACAATTATTTAGTATTTATAAGAAAAATGACAAATTTAAAGGGATGGAGAAATGTCAAATCCTAATGGCTTGTTTAGTTAAAAAAAGAAAAAAAGAAAAAAAGAAAGAAAGAGGAGGGAAGAGGTAGAAAAATATTTTTTTTTCTATTTAGATATTTTTTTTCTATTTAGATTACAAAGCATTACAATCAATGGGTAGGGGAAAACTTTCCCTTATTTTGTTTTAATTTTTTTACATTTTAGTCTAATTAAACAAAAAAAAAAAATTCAACCTCACAATTCTAGGGGTAATTGGTTCTTAATTTTAGTATATTATTATTCTCCCTGTTTTAAAATGATAGATATTTTTTAATTTAAAATTTATTTTAT